GGGCCCTGGGATCAAGTCCCGCATCGAGTTCCCTGTTCAGCAGAGAGTGTTCTCCCTTTCCCTCTGCTCCTCCTCCTCACTTGTGTTCTCTCTCTCTCTCAAATAAATAAATAAAATCTTTTTTTTAAAAGTTGCAGTGTAAATGAATTTAGTATCATTCCATGTCCTAAATAATTCACATTATTTTTCTCTTCTCAAGCACCCACTGACTTCAATACAATTCTATTTAAATATCATTTAATGAGCATCTGTCTGTTGAAATACACACACACGTGGTAGGTGCTAGGGCGGGAAGTTAGACACAGCACAAGGGTCCAAGAAAGAGTAAAATGAATTTGATTAGGAGGTGGCAAGAGGATTCATGACATGAGCTGAGCCTCAAGTGAATACTGGAGTGGCTCTGTTATACACTGAGAAAGAACACCCCCAACAAATGCACATTAGAAGCAAAGGTATAAAGATGGAAAAGTTTGGGGTTTGTCTGATGATTGAAAAGTAGATCCAGGTGAAGGGGACAGTGCTCATGCCTGTGTGTGCAGGTCAAAGTCAAATGCAAGAGTGACAAAGGAAGGGGGATCAAATTGTGGAGTCAAGTCAGTTTATAGCTGCTAAGTTAAGGCCTTCGGTTTATGTATTATTCAACAGGGAACTGTCAAAGGGACACATTCATCCTGAGTCAGAAGAGGAAGAGGAAAGAACATGTCTAGAAGTTGACAAGTTTTAGGTAACATGAGAGAAAGTTACAAGAATTCATACCTAATGAGTGAGATGATGATTAAACAGGTAGGTGTTGGAACAATGAAGTATCTGGATTAACTTTTAGCTAGAAGTTGATGACTAGCGAAACACCGAAGGCATGTAGGCCAACTGAGGTTTTGAGTAGAGTTATGACCCATAGAATGATCTTTTTATTTTACTAAATCTCTGCCACCTCAGTATACAAACAAAGAAATTGTGTGCCTAAAACTAAGTGTCAAAGAATGATCGGCATCATGGATTATGGCGGTCAGTCTATAGTTGAAGGGACGGGGGTCCAAAGAGCAGCAGGCAAATTCAGGAGGAAGGGAAATGGTTAAGAGACAAAAATACTTAACTTATTTTATTTCACAGAACAAATATTTATGTGAACTAGGAAATGTGAAGGAATTTATGTGAGCAAATACTGGTTCATTTAATTTTCATAGCAAACATATGAGATAAATATTACTATGATTCTAGTTTTACAAGTTGAAGAAACTGAGCCTAAGGAGTTTTTTTGTTTTTTTCAAAGTCTCCCAGTCACTCATAAGTGTCAAAGCTAGGCTGCGTTCAGTTAGTGAAACCAAGAGTCTAGGCTCTTAAATACTGTGCTATGCTATATTTAAAAGTAGGAGAGGGGGAAGTTAAGTGACCATAGTCTGTGGTCCAAGTAAACTATTAGAGTTTAAAATTTTAGAAAAAGAACAATCTTTGGAAATTACAAGGCATGGGAAATTGCTGCAGAAGTGGGTGGCTGAAATAAAATGGGGGTGAGGTCACAGAATTTGAGGAGTGCAAGGAAACTAAAAGAGGAAGATACTGAAAGAGTCCCCACAAAGTATTGTAGCAGGCTTAGGGTGAAGAGGGCAAATCTGCCTTGGTACAGTGTTCTCATCCATGCATCAGTGTGGTTGGTAACTGATACCAACAAGGAGAGAGAAAAATGGAATCCCCCACAACCTCAACACGTATGCACAAAAACCTGCATGCACACACATGCACATGCACACCTACTCTGCAAGGGTCCACGGCAGCAGGTGAGTAAACACCATCTACCTGATCAGGCCTCAGTATAAGCAAAGTTCTCGGTGAGAAAATATGATTGGAGAAAGTAAAGTAATGTGAAGAAACGACATATAATCAGTGGAAAGTTCAAGAGCTTTTGTTTGTTTCCTTTCAATGAAAAGAAAAAGATTTTTCTAAATATTTTGTAAACGCCTGACAAAAAAGACAGGTGGGAAGATGAGAGGTGCTAGTTAAGTGATGAACAGATTTAGTATTCCTTTTATAAACATTTCCAACAATGCCATTATTTTATCTAATAACCCAGGTCAAAGAACCTACCAAATACTGCCGCCATTCAGTAATTACGAGAAACAATCCTCCTTTTAGAGAAATTGTGTGTGTCTCTCTCTTTTCATGGACCAGAGGAACTACATAAATCAGGGCTCCTCAAAATGTGGTCTCTAGAGCTGAAATTTCAGCATCACCTGGAAACTTGTTATAAATAAAAATTCTAAGGGCCCCCTCCAGGCCTGCTGAATTGCCTATACTGCATTTGGGGCCCAGAACAAGCTGTGTGTTCATAAGCCCTGCAGGTGATCTTATATGTGATAAAGGTTAAGAACTTCTGGTCTAAGCCAATGTACATGTATTCCTTTTTGTTTAGCTACCTAGAAATTAAGATCCAAATTCAGCATTCAACAGCCAAAGTTAAATGTATTAGGCACTTGTTCATATTTATTTCTATGTTAATTTTAATTACCTTTTCCATTTTATTTTTTCTTTCCTCTAGTTTATATTGTGTTTAATAAGTTGCCACCCTTTTGGAAATAGTATATATTAACCACAAATATTCAATTTCTTTCAAGTATTACTGAAAATAAATTTCAAGTTTAAAAATTTAAAAATCCATGACCATAGAAGGATACATGAAATGTTTGATGGTAGACGAGGAACAAGGTCTAGTCCATTGACAGGAGAGTGGGTGAGAGGAATGGATTCTGAACTAACTGATGTGAGAAGGGGCCGGGCACCGGCATTTAAGAAACAGACAAAAAACAAGCTCCCAGTAATTAAGGACCAGGTTAAGTTCCTCCGCATCGGAGGACAGCGGAGATGGAAAATGGAGCAGAGCAGGATCGGAGGCACAACTTCATGTATTCTGAAGCAGACATTCATGTACTTTGAAGACTCTGGTGAAAATCACAGAGATGGTGTCAGGCCCCAACAATTCTACCCATGACAAGAGTCTGAAGCAACAGTTAAGGAAAAAGGAAAACACGCCTGGATCTGATGTAGGCTTGAAAAAGAGCTGGAAAATTCAGGAGTGCCTGGGCAGCTCAGTGTGTTAAGCATCTGCCTTCGGCTCAGGTCATGATCTCGGGGTCCTGGGATCGAGCTCTACATCGAGCTCCCTGCTCAGCAGGGAGTCTGCTTCTCCCTCCCCACCCCCCTACCCCCGCTCGTGCTTTCTCTCTCACTCTCTCTCTCTCAAATAAAAATCTTTAAAAAAATAAAATAAAAAGAGATGGAAAATTCAAAGACAGCACAGAGGGAAGGGATTTAAAAACAATGAAGAATCGGGTGCCTGGGTGGCTCAGTTGATTAAGCGACTGCCTTTGGCTCAGGTCATGATCCTGGAGTCCCACGATCAAGTCCCGCATCGGGCTCCCTGCTCGGCAGGGAGTCTGCTTCTCCCTCTGACCTTCCTCCCTCTCATGCTCTCTCTCTACCATTCTCTCTCTCTCAATAAATAAATAAAAACCTTTAAAAAAAATGAAGAAAGTTCAGTGGTACGTCGGGTTTGACCTGATTCATCAAGTGTTTTTAAGTTTAAGTGACATTTTGCCTGTAGTTGTGGACAAAGACTGTTGATACATAAAACCACATTGAAAATTTAAAAACATGCCTCTCAGGAATTCTATCTTAAAAATAAAACCACCCTGATGCGTAGTTCCAGTTGACATAAAAATAATTAAAGTGCGACACAAAGAGCATGTTACACAAGAGTGGTGGTGCCTTCATTTCTTCTCAGACCTGGAAAAAATTCTGTGCCTTTGTATTTTTAAAATCATCCCAAACACGGACCTGATAACACCTGAGCAAACTTTCTCCTTGGCCATCGCTTCAATAGAAATTCCCTGAACATTAATATTTATTTTGGAATGAGAGAGATTTCTGTATGTTCTTAGGAATACAAATAAATCTTGAAATGCAAATATTCGACATTTAGGAATAATAAACATGTATTTTAAAAAATGATGCTAATATGGTATACTCATAACTTACACAGGTATGACTTAGTCATACTATAGTAAATTCTTTGTTAGTAAGAGAAATATTATCAACATGTTACATAATTGTGAGACCTCACGGTGTTCTATATTTGCTTGAAAATAACAAATTTAGGATTTATTATCTTCACTATCGTTTCAGTAGCAACAACTTTTAATTCATTTTAATGCCATCCAATACAATCAAGTTAATCAAATTACTGAACAAGCCACCAGCTCTATGTTTAGCAGGGGCTTTGGAGACAGACTATGTTATTAAATGTTCAGGCTTAGAGTAAATACTTGAAAAATATTTTCCTGCATTGCAATGAGTACAGTTTGCCACCAGAGAGAGCTCAGACACTATAGTTTATTAAAGACAGCCATTTACTTCCTTTCAACTAGATGGAAATTCTCTGTCTGAAATACCCGCTCTATTGTAGAAGAGAAAAAAAAACAGAGCTATTGTTTATTTATAATATCCAGAGTCAACTCCTATACATGAAACTTTCATGTGTGACATGTGAGAAATCATTTATCCCTGGCAAAGAAAGTATCAGTGCTGAAGTTTTCAAGGAAGATGGCCAACAGAGACTCAGGTTGTCTGTGTACAGTGAACCCCCTTGTTGACTAAGGGGAAGACCTCCTCACATACTAGAAATAAAGGTTTTTCAAAACAACTCAAATGACATTTTCCAATATCATCGTGTTACCAAACTGAGGGACAGTCAAGAAAAAGTCATTTGACAGACCAACACGCTCAAGAAATACTCCCTAATAAATGGAACCTGATAAAAACCTGAAATTGATAGATTCATAATATCTTTTGTCTGATTCCCAATTGAAGGAATTTTTATTTATTAACCAAAGTCACTTCATTTAATGAAAACTCAGACAACCGTAGTAGATACAGTTTTAAATTCATCACTATCTAGTGCCTTCCCTACCCCCTGCCGTGATAAGTAAAGGAAATAAAGAAACACATACATTCGAGTTTATCCTCAGGTCTTCCTCTTTCAAGAAGAGACAGATAACAGACAATGTCCTTCAGATGGATTACTTCTGGGGAACACGTATTTGCAGGAGAAGTACGGGGGGGGGTGATGGCACCTTTATTCATTCTCAGACCTGGAAAAAAAAAATTGCCTTTATATTCTTAAAGGTATCCATACAGTGCTTTCAAAGAAAAAGACAACTAAGAAAATAGATAATGCACAGACCTTTTAGAGAACTATATATTTTTAGGTAAAAAATAGCCAAATTCTCTGGAACTCTAGGATAGCAGAGTCAGACATATTCTATGATTACTGTAAATAATTCAGAGTTTTTTGGTATTCAGGGACATGGAAATTGCTCCTCCTGCCTGTAAGAGCATGTTGGGGTCAGAATCCTCTTGTCCAGGGTGAGCTGATGGACAGATTTGAACACATGAAAAACCACTTTCCTCTTCCACCTTTCTCTGCTTTAGGAAGTGGCAAGAACAAATCAGCTAAGAAGATACTGAAAATTGGCCTTTCACAAAACACTGAAGAAGAGACTTGAGTCTGTCACAGTATGATTTATATGTTGATAATCAGGAATCATTCATTCAGAAAAACACATATTTATGTCAAATATTTGTGGGCACCATGAATAAAACATCCTTTTTCCCATCAAGAAATCGGCCCATGCGTAAGAAAGGGAACATAAACAACAATCGGCTTGAATACCACAGACATTTGATTAGAGAGGAAAGAACATATGACCGTACTTTAGTTTTAATATGGTTCATAACTTTATTTCTGAAACCCATTCACTGTGCTTATTCCAAGACAAGGGTAGAGAACTGGAATGCCTGTCATCAGCAATAGCTGATGACAGCAGATTATTTAGGCGATAATGATTGAACTGAAACTCCTTTATAATAAATGGTTAATTCCATCTAACAGAGATGCATGTGATACCAGATCATGTGTACCTGACAAGACCTGAAGGCAAACCCCAATTATCATTTAAGGTTCATTTGGCAAACAAGAGGTGTTTGGGTGAAATGGCTAATGGGCTGAATGGCTGCTAGATTCCTAATCAAATGGGAGTTACTAGAATGGAGGGAATAATCCCAACCAAACACAGTTCTGTAAGCCTATCAGTCCGGAGCATGCCTCTACCTAACCACATCTCATGCTCTTGTCCATTTTCTTGGATAAGTAACTTTGATGGAGTACCTGGCATCTCCTCCAGCCGTCTCAAGAACCCAGCATATCATTTAATGGATTATGAAATTACTTTCATCATTCACAGTGTTAATATGTAAAGCTACTATTTATTGAGTGTTGAATATGTGGCAGGAACCGTCCTGGAGGCTTTAACATGGATCGTCTCACTTAATTCCCACGTTAACTCTTCGAGGTAGATTGCAATATTCCCATTTTACAGGCTTAAGAGTTCCACAGCTGCCAAATCCACCCTCTTTATTCTGCACTAATGGATGACAGACCAAGGCCAAGGGTAAGAAAAAGTAAGAAAAACAATTTACACGTGAATCCAGGAGAAGCCTTTTATTCTCCCTCTCTCGCCCTCAACATTAGTAGGTTCTGTAACTGCCCCAAGCTTTCTTTTCCATGTTAATCTCTTCTCTTTTCTTCTATTTCATTCTTAAAATTCTGTCAAAGACCCTCTAAATTGAATTTACCAACCATTAATGGGTCACAACCCACATTTCGAAAAACACTGCTTTACATCTTTCTTTCAGTTTTTTGTTTTTACTGAAGTCGTACTTATTTCAAATACAGCTCTATGCTTCACATTAATTCTATTTGATAATAGCTATCAAAAAAGATATAATTATAAATTGATTTTTCTTAACAAAAGTGTCACTGTATGTCTAATACAAACTAATATAGTTATTTTTAAAAAAACAAAAGAAGGCAGAGAATTGAAGACAATCCTGAGTTTTCAAAAATATACATACCTGACTAATTCTACCTAACCAACTAAAGCTAGGCCAGCTGCAGGAATAAGCAGTTCACACTTACGATAAAAGACATTTTGGAACTGACCTCTGACATGACCGTAACTTCCAGACTTGGAAAACACAGCACTTGAGTTATGTTCGGATAAACTATGACCTAACCCATCCTGCCTGGTGAGCTAATCCTCTCGTCTCTGCTTCCCTCCCCCTTACGGTACTGAAATGATTTAATCAGCTTGATTTAACTCTTATACAAAACCTCAGAACAAAACAAGAAAGAAGGAAAATAACATGTTATGACATTCATTTGAAAGAATGCCAACCACATTATATATTGTCACTGATTCAGAACACTTCATGATCATTTGTTTGTATAAAACTAAAGTGCATGCTATTTCTTTATCAGCTTTCATAATACTGAATATAAAAAATCTGGAGAATGTGAGGACCATATAATTTTCTGTTTGCCTTTCTTGTAAGTAATATACATATTGAAAAGAAGCATACAAATATAATTTATATCCAGCCCCACCTTTTTGAAAAAGCATATTATTACACTAAAATGATTTTTGACAAAATGAGTAAATATTTTTCATTTTCTGTTCATGAAATGTTATAAACTAAAAGCTGTATCATATTCATGTCACAGTCTTATATTTAAAAGAATTTAGTTTATTATTTTTTTTTAATTATGGGCTTATATGGCAACACACATTGATGAACTAATCAACTCTTCCTCAAATCCAAAGTTTTTGTTTTGGTTCTTAAGTGAGTGATAAAGCATACAGTTTTTACAATGATTGTTAGGGTGCGTCAAAGGTCTTTTTCTCAATTACTTCATAACAAAAAACTTCGGGAGAGCAGGACTTGACTAAATTTTGAGCTGCTGAACTGAGGAAGTCTCACAGGCTTTTTCCTATTCCTACTCTCGTCCCCCAAATCAGCTCACTTTCTCTTCTGTGGTGAAAATGTTTCTTCATATTTTCATTTAATTTTCTGAAAGCAGGCCCTGGGGCCTCAATCTGTCTTCATAGAGACTTTTTCCACCCTACTCTACCATTAATATACATTTTTTCCTTTCCTTAAATCTGGCTGGAGGTCTTTTCCTCTACTTGTCTCCTTCACTGTCCTAAAAAATTCTTTTTCTTTCAAGCAGACTGTACTAAGGCTTATGTGGAACACAGGAAACAACACAAGTGGCAAGCAAGAGGTTGAAAGCCCCATTTCCTAACTACAGCTTTTCAAGGAGATAGTAAATGGAACCGTACGTTCCTCTTTAGCAGCAGTGGCCTCTGAAGAAGGGGCTCAAAATTCTATGTTCCATTAAGGAAGGCCATTTTAATCCATCCCATCTTTGGCAAAACTCTTCAGAGTTGGAACCGAACACAAAACTAGGCAAAACTTTTGCCTCAAGTGGTCAATATTTGGCTTTAAAGAAAATGTGATTGACACCCAATTTGCAGGCTCACTGACTTGCCAAAGGCTATGCTTCTTTTAATATTTCCTCACAAAAGTGAAGCAAGTGTACACACACATACCATTTATGTCCACGCATGAATATACATCTATATGTATATATACTGTATACAGTATACATATACTGCAGTGAACAAGAAAGCACAAAATAAAGTGAAAAACTAAGCATTGTGATAAAGAGTGTATTAGTTCCGGGGCGCCTGGGTGGCTCAGTCGTTAAGCCTCTGCCTTCGGCTCAGGTCATGATCCCAGGGTCCTGGGATTGAGCCCCGCATCGGGCTCCTGGCTCAGCAGTAAGCCTGCTTCTCCCTCTCCCTCTGCCTCTCCCCCTGTTCATGCTCTCTCTCTCTCTGTATCTCTGTGTCTCAAATGAATAAATAAAATCTTTTTTAAAGGAAAGAGTGTATTAGTTTCATTAGGAAAAATTACGTTGTACTTTGAAAACATTTTTCTGTTTTATGATGATTTAAGTGGGTATGTTTGTACACCTCCTTACATATAAACATTCTTCAAAGTTTTAACTACCAAAATAGTTAGCATTAGTCCAGTTGAGCATTGCCTACTAGTACCACATTCTTCAAGCACATGATTTTCATTGTACTTCATTCTAGACGCTCCGTTTCTTGACACAAAAACCTAAAAAGTTTTGTTTTAATAGATACTTTTAATTCTAGCTTCAAGGTGGAATTACTAGCAAATACATTTTGGGTACATGTTCAATTATTGCCTCTGTTCCAGTTTGTTTTATTGTCAAACACATAGCTCAGATAATGAAAAGGTACTGTTGTATCCATTGTTTCCCTTCATCTATCACAATGGAATATTCAAAACTAATAACATAAATTACATTTCTAAACTTATAAGGCAAGAGAAAAACAACACTGGCAATTTGGCTTTTCTATTTTTCCATACTGGTTCAATTTTCAGAAATTTATCAGGCTTAGAAACAATTTGTCATAGTATAATCATATTTCCAATATCCATATTAATAGTCACAATGAGTAGCACAGACAATCAAGATTAAAAACAATTGTTTGGTATTGTCAGACATTTCATGATTTTCAGAGTTAACCTTCCAACTATGCTTGCCTTAGCATAGCATTATAATTTTTTTTTATGCTTCTACAAACTGGCAGCAAAATGAGGTAGACAGGGTTACAAATCAACAAGGGAAGTAAAATATACATAAAGTGAGGACAGGCAGTGGGATACCTTCCCTGACAGGAGACTGGTGCCAGCAAATCTTCTGTAAGAAATCTGTTTGGACATTGGCAAAAACCCCAAACAAATAATAATAAGGAACAGGGCTTGAAGCACAGGTCTTTGTGGGTGATGTTCTAGAAGTAGAGCAACCTCTGTGAAGGAGTAGTAACAATAACATCCCTGGCCGTGTGCCAACAACACTTAAACAGAGTGGTCTGATTTGACCCTACAATTCTATTTTAGAGACTAGAGGGTGGAAAATCAGAGAGTAAAGTAAACCTCTGATCATCATGTAGCAATCTGGGGAGTCAAGAGTTGAAGACAGGATATCTAATTCCAAACTTTAGGGTCTTTTAAAGTGGTACAATCAAGATCTGTCTACATCAATTATGTCTAGTAAAATATTCCACAAAGATAGAAATATGCTATATATGTACTGTCCAATATGGTAGTATTAACCATATATAGCTGTTAAGCCCATGAAATACGACTGGTGCGA